ATATTGATCAATATACAAACTTAGACGATAAGTTCAAAGTTGAGTGAAATCCATGCCTAATTAATTAGCATACTGTACTCTGATTGGTCAATGGTTTTATGCCAAGTAACTTTGTCAGATAAGGCAAGGGTTGATATCTTATTCAACAACGAAGGCAAAGTTCAAAGATGTTCACAATCTGTGCATAATCTATTTAATGGTTTAAAATAATCAGGTATTTGTCAAAGGGGTAAATGCCAGTTTCAGTTTTTAATGTTCTATGAAATACAGTGTATGGACAAAGGGAAGCAATTCCTAATTCGCATGCAAATTAATTATCCAAAGGTTTAAAATGATATTTTCTAGAGGAAACTTGGTACCCCTCTTCTGACAAACCTATAAAGATATACTGTACACACAAGAAGAATAACTTCACAGTGGTACACTTTTACATAAAACTTTGATTCATAACAAATTAGTAAATCCTTCTGTACAATATGATGGGAACTTCGTCTTTATTTTGTTCTCCATTCCAAAAATAATATATATATATATATCTTTTGCCTTAGCTTTCAGTACTTTCAGTACTTTGATTTTCTTCTGCCAAAATATGCGCATTAGTGCTGTCCACATCATACCTGAATATAAAGTGAATCTTACAAACAATTTTCGAAATATTCTTGATTTTTTAAAATTTGTTTTTTTAAAACATTTGACCTTTGTGACCTTGATTGACTTCAACCATTTGTTCAAACCTGATACCCAATCTTCTCAGCATTTTAAATATGAAATATCAAGACTCTAGACCTTGCGGAACTTAAGAAGATTTTTTAAATTTGTTGCCCAATAGTGCATTTGAACTTGGACCCCTACGGAAAACTGGAAGTTGACATTTTACTCAAAAATGTTTCTGAGAAAGGTTATTTATTTGTTATTCTGCACAATATATCCAAAAATAAATTGAATACATTTACCCGTTAATGAGGTATTGCAATTAGAGAAAAAATCGGATATGACTTCATTTTGTTTTTTGATGAAGTTGAAAATATTACGATATGTTAGAGGACATCTGGGGAAACCTTTTCCATAACAAATAAACGAAATATTTGTCATTGATATTGGAGTAAAACATTTTACAAGTAAAACAAGTTTTAAAATATTGTCAGCAGTTTTAAAAGATCAAAAGAAAAAATTCAAAATGACGTACAACGTTAACGGTAAATGATACAGAAATCCTAAAGACATCAATTTCATTGGAATAGCATTCTACATCGATCTATAGAAGATTTAAAAAAGAATGATGAAAAATTAATGTTTTTTAAAACTTAGTGACCTTTAAACCCATAGCGAGCTTTTTTATTTGATATATTTTGTATTAACATGTAACCAGAAAAAGTTAGATATAGAAATTATCTACAAATTATATACTTTCATAAATTCTGTACAATCAAAAGTTTTCGAGTAATAGTGGTTTTAAAGATTTTAACCTATGACGTCAAGGCGGCCATAATGGATTTTTGACCTACTTGAAAAAGTTCCTGGAACATCTTCAGACCTTGGCCTACAACATACCTCAAAGACTATAAACCTATCTTTTACCAATCAAAAGATACAGACTCCACAAAAAACGGCAGAAGAATAAGAATAAGAAACTTAACAAAAACAATACAGATATATAAGAAGTAACATATCAAAAACAATAGGCCTTTTCACCAGTTGGTGGAAAGCCCTAATAATGATATCATAATTATTTATTTATATTATCTATATAACATTTTTTATTTTTTATTTATTTAATCGTAAACTTTCCCATAATCTTACAGGACACTTTTGGTTTGCAGGGTTGTCTGGTTAAGGTCACTGTTACTATTTTTAAAAATATCATTGTCTGCGCTGTAGCAGCTTCATTCCTTAAAGGATTTCCATCGATTTAAATCACTAATTAAGAACCATAATATCAGACAAGTTTCAATTTTAGGACTGGTGGGTCATGGTCATCGTTACTTATTTTTATACTCTAATGGTAGCCAGTAGGGGACCTATTTTGTTTTAGCAGTGCTCTGCTTGTTATACATATTTTTATTGAAAATTATGATTAATTATGGGCTATTATTATGATCCTTACTCAACAATATGTTCTTTATTATTTATTGCCATTCTGTACTGATATACCACGTCCTTTATTCCATTATTTGAATCCTTCATACACAGCATTCCTGATTGCCCTTGGCGCTTTGATTTTTACTTGGTGAGAATTATCCTTGGAGGAAGATGGTTTCAAAGTGTAAAATTGATATTCCTACCCCAACCGCTGAGGACCAGCTGGGCGGGGCCCCAAAGGGAAAATGAACCAATATTTCAAAAATCTTCTTCTCCAGACTCAGGGGTACTACAGTCATTTTCTCTGCATGGATAGAAAGATCATCAGGGGCTTTATTTAAATTGTAAATTTCAGGACCCCCGAGCTATCCATTCTCCCTTGGGGAGGAGGTAAAGTTTACTATAGTTTATATAGGGAAATAACACTTTTGGGAATATTTTATCCATTTTTAGCAGAAAATTACTCAAACTTCGTCAGAATCATCTTCGGTGAATGAGGGTATTACATTGTAAAATTAGGATTCCTGCTTGATCCCCAGGGGCTATAGGGCGAGGCCCCAAAGGGAGCATTTACCAATATTTTCAAATTCTTATCCTTTGATGACATGACAAGTATTTCCACATCGCATCTAAACAATAAAATAAAGCTACCAGTACCTATGATATAACTCAGGTGACTGCTAAGGCCCTTGTGCGGGCCTCTTGTTATATATCCAATTATGAAGAAACTTGTTTTCTTCTGATTATGTTATTTTCGTTAACACTCAATCCCATCCCGACGGCAAGAGAATAAATTCCCAATTCAATGTCAGTGTCTGGTTTGATTTTATAGTCGCCTCCATCATTTTCGTTTCAGGAAAACCATGTTTTCGATTGTATAGTCTGGTTCCCTGCTGCTAATGCTCCGACGAGTCTGCGCTAGTCTGGTTCCCTGCTGCGAATGCTCCGACGAGTCTGCGCTATTCTTTAGAATAGCGCAGACTCGTCAGAGCATTCGCAGCAGGGAACCAGACTTTAGAATAGCGCAGACTCGTCGGAGCATTCGCAGCAGGGAACCAGACTATCGATTGTAATGAATTAACAGCTCATATATTTGTTGCTGTTTAATGTTAATATCAACTGTCATCACATGTTAATTAGCAACTAGCCCCCACTGGATGTGGGATCACTAATTTCGTTTCTTTTCGTGAGTCTCACACCAAAATCGTCAGATATGGCATGTATGCAACCGATTCCTATGTATTCCGTGTTTTGGTTTATATTTTTAGTGTTCATTTTACCAACCAATCAAAAATATGACTAAAAATATCAACAAAAATGGACCTTTATTCTGATGAAACATGTTCATAGATGATATCTATCATCATAGATCCCACACAGCATTTTGATTAGTAGAACCAAGGAGCTTGTCTTATGAACAGTTATCATTTGAAAAGTGTCCGTATTTACCCGAATTTCCCGGCATAACACACATTTCTATTGCTGACAAATTTACATAAAGTCTTATTAAGTTTGTCATCAATAGCAATGTGTTTTATAGGACCATAACAACATTTGCTAAAACATTCATATTGCTTAAGTATTGCATTAAAGTTAAGCCTAATGTAAGAAGTTTAGCTTAAAGCTGACAGTGCAAGTTAAAGGCTTTCAATTGAGATTTTACAACTTTTTTTTATGTTTTTCTAGTTTTGAGATCTTTCCCATCTCTTCCTTCTACTGTTTCTAAGGAAGTGCCGACATTTTAGTTTGTCCTTGCTTGGTAACAAGTATGGGTCTCGCTGGGTATAAAAAGTGCATTACCCATCAAACCGGTTATCATTTGTTCAATATGTGCAAAATGTGATACTACTTTACTATATATATATATAGAACAATTTATTACCAACATTTTGTATCAGACCAGTTGAATAAAATTGAAATGGAACACATCAAAGATAACATTTATCTAAGAAAAGTGGAAATAGTAGTAAAATCTGACCAATTAAAATATCTAATGCACAAATCCCTGGTGCAGTTCTATATGAATAATAATAATAATAATTCAAGGTTCTTTTATACCGCTTTATCACAACCTAGTTTGTACCCTGAAAGGTCGTCTCAAAGCAGTTCACAAATTATTATCCGTGGTTATAGGGCCTTTGTAACCAGCCAATACCTTTCTCAACTCCCTGGGGAGCATACAGCTGGAGCTTCCATTTTGGCACTAAAGCTAGCATTCAACAATTCTATCACTTCCCAACCACGTACTCGTTTACAGCTGAGTAGACTGGAACAAGCAAAGTAAAGTATCTTGCCGTGCCGTGGCGCGAACCTGCAACCCTTCGGTCACGACCCAGGCGTCCTATCACAGGACTACCGTGCCTCTTGAATATAAGCACGAGAAACACTGATGTTATCTATGGGATTTAAAGAATGTATGTTCAGTAATATATCTTTTATTTTGGATACACAATTTCAAGAATGTGTCATAAGTAACAACCAGCTTGGCAGTGTTTCAAGGTATTCAGGTGAGTGTGTTTGATTTTTGATATTGGTTGACGATCAGGGTGCACGGTGCATTGAATCGCAAGACAGTCACTCAGTTGTAGAATGATAACCGGTTTGACAGGTAATGCACTTTTTATACCCAGCAAGACCCATACTCATTACCAAGCAAGGAAAAAACAAAAATGTTGGCACTTCCCTAGAAACAATAGTCAGAACATATGGGGCAGTTTCAATATTTATTCCCAAAGGGGATTTGCTTGATGTACAGCTGTATAAAAACTTTTAGTACTTTATGGAAGTTCAGCCTCTTAGTTTAGCTTTATGTTTGATAATTTTAGTTTCATGTATAAAGAAGTTACAACAAGAATGTGAAATATATACTAATGTCGATTATGAATTGCCAATGAAATGATTTTCAAATATCTTTCTTTCAGAACATGTCTTCAAAAAAAAGTAAAGGTATGTACATTTAGCTGACCTTATCATGAAAAAGGTGCAATTGTGAATTCATGTATGATGCATAATATGTCTGTCTTTCAAATTTTACATTATCGTTATCTGTTAAGGAGAAATGCTGAAGAGTGTTCCTTTCAGCAAAAAAAAAAGACTGGTTGAGACCTATAGGGACAAGATTAGACCATACCTTTACAGAATTGACAGTTTGAGGCTTTTCTCCTGTTTGAAAGCAAAGTACTCCTTTGTATTTATAATAATGGACACAACACCTTTTTGTGTTGTGAAAAGACAACTATTGAGCAAGGTACTGACAATGAAATTAAGAATGATGAGGCTTTGATGTGTGTATATGGAATAGGAAAAAAGCAGTCCAGACGGGATTCAAACTCGAGACCTCAAAATTCTATCCTCTTGCTCTCTAATAGAGAAACATCTTTTAAAATCATTCTCTGGTGATATGAATAGCTTAAGAATCCTTGGGACTCAATTAGTTGTAAATGGAGGATGTAACCCCCTAGGTGCAGAGGGGCAGAGCCTTATATGGGGAAATAGAGGTTAATCATTCAAAATCCTTTTCCTTCTGTATCAATTGAGGATTTTTAACCAAATTTTGTCTAGATCTAGGACATCCAACACCTACTTACAAAATTGCTGGGCATGAAGGACATGTCCTTTATGTCTTATCCACCAAAAGTCCTGTATGCAATTTTTAGCTCACCTGGCCTGAACGTTTTACTTTAAACAACTTCTTCTGAATAACCAAGAAGTCCAGGGTAATGATATTTGGCCAGTAGCATGCTGAAATGAAGGGCTACCAAGTTTGTTCAAATGAATGACCTTTGTCCATTTTCAAGGTCACAGGGGTCAAATATGTTACAATCTTTCAACAACTTCTTCTGAATAACCAGAAGGCCAAGGGTGATGATATTTGGCCAGGGACATGCTTGAATGAAGGGCTACCAAGTTTGTTCAATTGAATGACCTGACATATATATTCAAGGTCACAGGGGTCAATTGTCTTAAAAGACCTTTATTAGCTCACCTGCCCGAAGGGCAAGTGAGTTTATGCCATGGTACGTCGTCCGTCGTCTGTCCGGCATCCGTCTGTCCGGCGGCAACTTTTTACTTTAAACAACTTCTTCTCATTAACCAAAAGGCTTAGGATGATGATATTTGGCTAGTAGCATGCTGGAATCAAGGGCTACCAAGTTTGTTCAAATAAATGACCTTGACCTGCTTTCAAGGTCACAGGGGTCAAATATGTTAAAAACTTCTACTTAATAACCAAAAGGCCCAGGGTACTGATATTGGGCCTGTAGCATGCTGGGATAAAGGGCTACCAAGTTTGTTCAAATGAATGTCCTTGATCCACTTTCAAGGTAACTGGGGTCAGATGTCTTAAAATCTTCAAACAACCTTTCTCAATAACCAAAAGGCCCAGAGTACTGAAATTGGGCCTGTAGCATGCTGGGATGAAGGACTACCAATTTTGTTAAAATGAATAACCTTGACCAACTTTCAAGGTCACAGGGGTCAAATGTTGTAAAATCTTCAAACGACTTCTTCTCAATAAACAAAAGGCCTAGGGTACTGATATTGGACCTGTAGCATGCTGGGATGAAGGGCTACCAAGTTTGTTCAAATGAATGAGCTTGACCTACTTTCAAGGTCGCTGGGGTCAGTTGTCTTTAAATTTTCATTCGACTTCTCAATAACCAAACGGCCCAAGGTACCGATATTTGGCCTATAGCATGCTGGGATGAAGGACTACCAAGTTTGTTCAAATGAAGGACCTTGACCAACTTTCAAGGTGACAGGGGTCAAATGTCTTAAAATCTTCAAACAACTACTACTCAATAACCAAAAGGCCCAGGGTACTGATAATTGGCCTGTAGAAATCACGGCTACCAAATTTGTTCAAATGAATGACCTTGAACCACTTTCAACCTAACGTCATTGTTTGACATTCAAGGTCACACTGATATTCTGCGTGTAGCAGTATTTTAGTCCACTTTTAAGATTACAAGTGTGAGATTAATACCAGGTGAGTGATGCAGGCCGAATGGGCCTCTTGTTTTTGATTAGTTGCATGCTTAGATAAAGCTCACCTGGCCAAAAGGGATGAAGTGAACTTATGCTGTGGAGCGGCATCCATCATCTGTCTGTCTGTTGTCTTGATAATGAAAATCCTATGGAGAAGATGATTTATTGTTATATGAAAAAATATGCCCGTAAATTATTTTATGAAAATGTTCATGGTATCATTGAAGAGTACTCGTCCTCTGATCCAAAAGCTTATTGGAGACTCATCAAAATGTTAATACAATCGTCTGGTACTACACAATCTATACCTACTCTTGTAGATCCTGTTTTTGACAATGTGGTTACTAGTGACGAAGACAAAGCTAATTTATTAAACGACATTTTTTGTAATATAACTAGTGTAGATGACAGAAATACTGCGGTTCCTTTCATCGAGCCAAAAACTGACAAGAGTCATTAGAATCAATGATAATGAAATATGAGACATTTTACAGATATTGAAGCTCGGTAAGGCCTTGGGTGAGGCTGGAATCAGTCACCATATGCTAAGAAACACATCAGAAACCGTTTATGTTCCCCTTGAAATCATTTTTAGCTTGTCTAATCGAAAGAATAGGGGGACTATATCAGTACCCACAGCGTCACCGTCGGCGTCCCACTTGGTTAAAGTTTTAGGGCAAGCCCTGTTTTGGTGTGTAACTCAACTTTTAATTAATTTTACATTGTAATATGGTTACAGCAATTGCTTGGAGGTTCCTTAGCAACAAATTGGACCATACTTGCTCATTATTGGTCCAAAACACAAGTCTTTTGGAATTAGTTAAAATAAAAATATTGGGGATCAAATAGAAAAAAAAGAAAAATACGCTTTTATCATATGAAATCAAACATTATTATGAGTTCCATATTTTACAGTAATTTATTTTAGCATACAGTATAAAGGGGGTACTTGAGGGATGAGGGATAAAATAACTTTTTCTACACTGTTTGAAGTAGGAACTTAAAACTTTAATACATGGTAGATATATATGTATGGGGAAGTGCACTAAACTTTCAGAATTTTTATTTGACCCCTAGGGAACTGTGTCATGCATAAAAAGTACCCCCCTACCAAAAAGTATCCGGATACTTTTTATACCTGCATAAAATGTACCCCCCTGCATAAAAAGTACCCCCCTGTGAAAAAAATATATTTCTCTATTTTTAATCCAATTTAGTTCAGGACTTGAACAGGACATTACAGGAGAACATTTATCAACCCCTACCCCACCAATCCCCACCCTCGAGGCCAGGAATGTTATTTTTCATAGGGGGTACTTTTTGGTCAGGGTATAAAAAGTATCCGGGGTTACATTTTGGTCGAGTGTATAAAAAGTATCTGGGGGGTGGAGAGTTGAAGAGAGGTTGGATAATGACTATAACATAACTGTAAATGTTTCTTCATGACTCCCCAAACCTTATTGTGTCCAGTGATTGAGAACTATTTTGGCATAATTTCCTGGCCCCAGGGGTGGGGATTGTTGGGGTAGGGGTGGATAAATATTCCACTGTAATGTCCTGTTCAAGTTCTGAACTCAATTGGATAAAAAAAGAGAAAGGTTATTTTTTCATAGGGTGGTACTTTTTGGTCAGGGTATAACAAGTATCGGGGGGGGGGGGGGGTACATTTTAATAAACCAGC